CCCTCCACTTTCCACCTCTCTGAGTAAAGCCTCCCTGACATGTGCTGAATAAAGCACATGTTAGAGAGTTGGCTCCCTCACTGACACTCTGCATACAGACTATGCTTCGCAGTGTTCCGCCTGCAGGTCTTGAACTCAGACCCATCGGAACCGCAACGCATGTCTTTACGCAGTGCGCCAGCCGAGCACTGACCCATCAAGCCGCTCGAACTCCTAAAAGTACCTCAAAGTCGGTCTTCCGTGTTTAACTTTAAAACTCCAGCTGTCACTCTGGATAAAGAGGGTGCTTCGGACCGTTCCGCCTGCAGGTCTTGAACTCAGACCCATCGGAACCACAACGCATGTCTTTACGCAGTGCGCCAACCGAGCACTCACCCATCAAGCCGCTCGAACTCCTAAAAGTACCTCAAAGTCGGTCTTCCGTGTTTAACTTTAAAACTCCAGCTGTCACTCTGGATAAAGAGGGTGCTTCAGACCATTCCACCTGAAGGTCTTGAACTCAGACCCATCGGAACCGCAACGCATGTCTTTACGCAGTGCACCAACCGAGCACTCACCCATCAAGCCACTCGAACTCCTAAAAGTACCTTAAAGACGGTCTTCCATGTTTAACTTTAAAACTCCAGCTGTCACTCTGCATAAAGAGGGTGCTTCAGACCATTCCACCTGAAGGGTGCTTCAGACCATACCCATCAGAACCGCAACGCATGTCTTTCCGCAGTGCGCCAACAGAGCACTCGCCCATCAAGCCACTCGAACTCCTAAAAGTACCTCAAAGTCGATCTTCCGTGTTTAACATCGAAACTCCAGCTGTCACTCTGGATAAAGAGGGTACTTCGGACCATTCCGCCTGCAGGTCTTGAACTCAGACCCATCGGAACCGCAACGCATGTCTTTACGCAGTGCGCCAACCGAGCACTCACCCATCAAGCAGCTCGAACTCCTAAAAGTACCTCAAAGTCGGTCTTCCGTGTTTAACTTTAAAAATCCAGCTGTCACTCTGGATAAAGAGGGTGCTTCAGACCATTCTGCCTGCAGGTCTTGAACTCAGACCCATCGGAACCGCAACGCATGTCTTTAAGCAGTGCGCCAACCGAGCACTCACCCATCAAGCCGCTCGAACTCCTAAAAGTACCTCAAAGTCGATCTTCCGTGTTTAACTTCAAAACTCCAGCTGTCACTCTGGATAAAGAGGGTGCTTCGGACCATTCCGCCTGCAGGTCTTGAACTCAGGCCCATCGGAAACGCAACGCATGTCTTTACGCAGTACGCCAGCCGAGCACTGACCCATCAAGCCGCTCGAACTCCTAAAAGTACCTCAAAGTCGGTCTTCCGTGTTTAACTTTAAAACTCCAGCTGTCACTCTGGATAAAGAGGGTGCTTCGGACCATTCCGCCTGCAGGTCTTGAACTCAGGCCCATCGGAAACGCAACGCATATGTTTACGCAGTGCGCCAACCGAGCACTCACCCATCAAGCCGCTCGAACTCCTAAAAGTACCTCAAAGTCGGTCTTCCGTGTTTAACTTTAAAACTCCAGCTGTCACTCTGGATAAAGAGGGTGCTTCAGACCATTCCGCCTGCAGGTCTTGAACTCAGACCCATCGCTACCGCAACGCATGTCTTTACGCAGTGCGCCAACCGAGCACTCACCCATCAAGCTGCTCGAAACTCCTAATAGTACCTCAAAATCGGTCTTCCATGTGTAAAACTTCAAAACTCCTCCAGCTGTCTGGATAAAGAGGGTGCTTCGGACCATTCCGCTTGCAGGTCTTGAACTCAGACCCATCAGAACCGCAACGCATGTCTTTACGCAGTGCGCCAACCGAGCACTCACCCATCAAGACGCTCGAACTCCTAATAGTACCTCAAAATCGGTCTTCCATGTGTAAAACTTCAAAACTCCAGCTGTCACTCTGGATAAAGAGGGTACTTCGGACCATTCCGTTTGCAGGTCTTGAACTCAGACCCATCAGAACCGCAACGCATGTCTTTACGCAGTGCGCCAACCGAGCACTCACCCATCAAGCCGCTCGAACTCCTAAAAGTACCTCAAAGTCGGTCTTCTGTGTTTAACTTTAAAACTCCAGCTGTCACTCTGGATAAAGAGGGTGCTTTAGACCGTTCCGCACCCGGGTCTTGAACTCAGACCCATCAGAAGACATGCGTTGCGGTTCCGATGGGTCTGAGTTCAAGACCTGCAGGCGGAACACTGCGAAGCATAGTCTGTATGCAGAGTGTCAGTGAGGGAGCCAACTCTCTAACATGTGCTTGATTCAGCACATGTCAGGGAGGCTTTACTCAGAGAGTTGGAAAGTGGAGGAGTTCAAGATCTGCTTTTGGAATGGTCTGCACCATACACTGCATCCAGAATGTACTAATGTACATGTTGGAAAGAGCAGGAAGTTAAAGTTCTCAGTCCATGAGAGCAACAATGGACAACGTTAGACTCTCACTGGGTCTAAAGTGAGAGTTCAAGACACGTGTGCGGAACTGTCCGAAGCACACTCTTTATCCAATCAATCAATCAATCAATCAAATTTTATTTGTATAGCACATTTCAGCTACAAGGCATTTCAAAGTGCTTTACATCATAAACACAAAACACGAAGGCATGCAACATAGAATAAAATACCAAGGTTTTTTTTTTTTTTTTTTTTTTTTTTTTTTTTCTTCTTTTTCCTCCTTTTTTTTCCCCCCTTTTTCCACTTTCCCTCTTCTTTCCCTTTCTTCCCCCTTCCCTTTGACACGGAATTTAAGCGCCTGTTACCGCCGGACTCCGCCGTCCGTTTAACCACGGGTATTCGCCGGGCCCCGTTGCCCACAACAGGAAAAAAAAAAAAAAAAAAAAAAAAAAAAAAAAAAAAAAATTACATACATATCCACAAAATCAAATCCATACATATTACATTTCAAATGCAACTCTAAACAGGTGCGTTTTTACTTGAGATTTGAAGGAAGTCAGGGTTTCCGCTGTTTTACAGTTTTCTGGAAGTTTGTTCCAAAATATTTGTGCATAGATGCTGAAAGCTGCTTCTCCTCTCTTGGAACTGGTTCTGTGGATGCAAAGCAGACCAGAACCAGAAGACCTGAGAGGTCTGGAAGGTTGATACAACAACAGCAGATCTTTGATGTATTGTGGTGCTAAACCGTTCAGTGCTTTGTAAACTAACAACAGTATTTTAAAATCTATTCTTGAGCTACAGGGAGCCAGTGGAGGGACTTTAAAACTGGTGTTATGTGATCTATCTTCCTGGTTCTAGTGAGAACGCGAGCAGCAGCATTCTGGATCAGTTGCAGCTGTTTGATTGATTTGTTGGACAGGCCTGTGAAGATGCTGTTGCAATAATCAATGCGACTAAAGACAAACGCATGAATGAGTTTCTCTAGATCTGGCTGAGACATTAGTCCTCTAATCCTGGAGATGTTCTTCAGGTGATAGAAGGCCGATTTTGTTACTGTCTTTATGTGGCTCTGGAGGTTCAAGTCCGAGTCCATCACTACTCCCAGGTTTCGGGCCTGATCACTAGTTTTAGTTGTGATAACTGAAGCTGTGCATTGACTCTAGATCGTTCCTCTTTAGGTCCAAAAATAATGACTTCAGTTTTATTTTTGTTCAGTTGGAGAAAGTTTTGGCACATCCACACATTTATCTGTTCTAAACATTTATTCAGTGATGGATGGGTTCAGAGTCACCTGGTGACATCGTAATGTAGAGCTGTGTGTCATCCGCATAGTTGTGGTAGCTAATATTATTTCCTGTTATGACCTGAGCTAGTGGGAGAATATAAATATTAAATAAGAGGGGTCCTAGGATTGAACCTTGGGGTACCCCACATGTGACCTTTGACCTCTTTGATGAGAAGTTTCCAATTGAAACAAAGAAATCCCTGTTCTTTATGTAGGATTCAAACCAGTCGAGCACCGAACCAGAGAGTCCAACCCAACTTTCAAGTCGATTCAGTAATATGTCATGGTCGACAGTGTCAAAAGCTGCACTGAGATCCAACAGAACCAGCACCGTGGTTCTCCCACAGTCCGTATTTATATGGATATCATTGAATACTTTTACGAGGGCAGTCTCCGTGCTGTGGTGAGCACGAAAACCAGACTGGAAAGTGTCAAAGCAGTTGGTCATCATGAGGAAACTATTTAATTGTTTACACACAGTTTTTTCAATAACTTTGCTGATGAATGGGAGGTTTGAGATTGGCCTGTAATTCTGCAATAGTGATTTGTCCAGGTTGTTCTTTTTTAACAGTGGTTTGATGACTGCTGTTTTCAAAGCCTGGGGAAAAACCTGATGTAAGCGATGAGTTTACGATTTGGATCAGAGAGACAGCTGGAGTTTTAAAGTTTAACATGGAAGACTAACTGTTCCGATGGTCCTTGGGGTACTTGTAGAACTTCGAATGGAAAGGTGCTCAGTTTACGCAGTCCATAAGAGCAACCAAAATAATAATAATAAAAAAAAACAACTCTCAGTGACTCTCAGGCCCTGAGAGGCACTCAGATGGCAAACGGACTATTTAGTTAACATGCTGCTAAACATTTAGCTTGCTAACTAAAGCGTGTCGCTAAATATTTGTTGGGAACTGATTTAGACTTTAAACTTGTTATTAAATACTTAGCACTTGCTAGCTAGTTGGTTGGCAATTTCTGGTTTTGTAAACCAAATACGTAACTTTCTAATTGACATAAATATAAATAAATGAATGTCATGTTTAAAATATAAGTTTTTTTTGTCTTATGACAGGCTAAATAATCCAAAGGAGACAAATAATTTCACTGTTGTCATAAAAAAAACTGCTTATATATGTGTATTTACTATACCTGTAAATGAAATTATAAAAGATTAAACCGAACAAAGATTGAGAAATGAATCTAAAACACTTCACTTCCCAGCATGCCTTGTTGCCAGGGCGAGTTTGTGGCGTCACGACGGCTATAAATACGTCTGCAGGAAAGAATTTCCTCCTCCATTGTTACATTGTAACAAGCGGGGCCGGGGCGAACCGGGGTGGAGAGGGGAAAAAAGCGTCTTCTCGTCAGAAAATCTCCAACAATCTGACACCAAACGAAACAAACCAATGCGCGTCTTTTTTCCCTCCTGTGTTGTTTTATTTAAAAAGCGAGAAGACAGCGAAGTGAGCCCAGCCGACCGAGCCCGGTCCCGGTGAGGAAGCAGAAAGGGGGGTAAAAAAGAAAAGAGCAAAGAAAGAAAAAAAGCGATAAGCGAGCACAAATGACAGCGGATTTCTCCATTGTAATAATTTTCAGCCTCATATTGGGAAGATAGCACATCCGGCTGTGTGCGTTGTTCATGCTGCACCGAAAAATGTTGGGAATAACCCAATGACGCCCCTCTTTCTTCCTTTTTTCCTCTCGGCTGTCCTTTAAACACAGAGGTATGCCACATTTAAATAAAAGCAGTCGCTCCTGTCAGGCCACTGTAATCTTTCGGCGTGCAGAACAATGAGCTTGCAACCCATGTAACCTCCTATAGCTAGCAAGAGACAGAGAAGTATTGCAAATTGACAATCAGCCAGATCACTTTGTTGCAGGGCTATCGGTCGTTTTTGCACATGAAAAGCGTCTCACTGCGCGATAAAAGATTGATGTGCAGCTCGGATTGGAAAGAAAGACGACCTCCGAGGCTGTTGGATTAAGGGTCTCTCTTTCTGCCCCAGGTAAGGAGGTCTAGTGTCTCTTAAATGTGGGCTTTGTGTGTGTGTGTGTGTGTGTGTGAAAGGGAGAGAGGGAGTGGAAAAAAAAAAGGGGGGGGGGGAAGATGGTTAAAATGGTGATTGGGAGGACCGAGCATTTGCCTGTTATAGGCTGATAGTGTTCAGGGTTTTTACAATGCATTTCAACCGACATCATGTCCACTCTGCAAGTCATGGTTAGACTGAAACACACAGCAGCTGCAGCAGCCTCAGTGGAAGAAACTCCACGTCTGATTTTAATTAAAATTCACCTCTTATCGTTTTGCATGAATGTGTGCATATGTAGAGTTGCACAATTTATTGGCTTTCTGTGCAATAATGCAAAAAAAAAAAAAAAGAAAGGATGTAAAACCATGTAAAGCGCTTGGCAGTATCATATTTGTCACCTTGATGGATTGTTACTCTCCTTGATACACCTGATCTCAATGGTTTAGATGTTAAAGCTCATAAAGAGAGAGGTGGAGACATTTTAGTTATTGCAACATTTGAGGTGTATTAGTATTTATTAATATTGTACAGCCAGAATAGATCATAAATTGTGTTTTAAAGAATAGAGCCAGGCACAATAAGGAGCCAGGCAATAAATTGCCCAGAAGTTATTGCGATAAACGATAATATTGTCGTTTTGAGACCATTTTCAAGTAATATAATGGTAATGATGGCAAAATAATGCAAGAACACATTCTCAAAGATCAATAAATTCTGTTCTAACCCCTGAGTGGGAATATCTGAATAAATTAGCAAAACAACAGAAACAACAAATAAAAGAAATAATGAAGTCTCTGTAAACCAAAGGGCGAGTTGCGACCAAAGCACCAGACTGAAGACTTTATCCATCCAGTTTTAGTGTAAAGAGAAAGATAAAAATGCTAATTATTGAGTTCATTTTAATATATCATGTGATTCATTGATTTATTGGTTATTGTAACAGGCTTTCACACACTATAAGTTGTACATTTACATCTATTCAGCTATGCTAACATCCCACCAAAGCACAGTTTTACCATTTCTTGTAAATATTCTTTTATGCACAGATGTGCAGTCACATGTTTTAAAATTATTACACATTTTAATATAGGTATGCTATTTTTTTACAAGTGCATTGTGCTTTTTTATGCTGTAAATTTGCCCTAAATGTCTTTTATTCTTGCCCTAAATGTCTAATTTAATATTTTCATCTTTATGTGAATCTAAACACTTCAACTTGCCTGTCACTTTGTTGCTGATGCAGCAGAGGGGCAATAAATGTTATTTGATTTTTTTTATTCAATTATACCTCAATACATGAGCTACAAAACATGCAAACTAGACTTACCACTCCATTAAATTCAAGTTTATTTCACCTAGACCAGCACAGTAAACAATGTTAGCTAAGGCTAATTTGAAGAACTCACTTTGATTCACTGATTTGATCAATTTTAATTTGATTTAATTCAAATCAGTGCTGTATAGTGAGTCTCTTTTTGACTGAATGTGAATAAATATTCATGTAGTGTGTTAAAAAAAAATCAAGTAAAAAATAACATTTTTATGTCTTATGAACAATAAAAGTTGAGATAAAGTTCCACAGAGGCTTATTTATTGATGCTCAATAAAGGACAACGGTTAATTTAATAACATTTACTGGGCACAAAATGTCATTGTTAAAATTATATTTATGACAACAGCTGAGTTTTGGTGAAAATGAGAAAGTAATAGACAAAAGTCCGAGGAAAAGCTGGACTTAAAACTGAAATTAATTTGATAAAACTTTGTAGAAAAATTTCTAGAGTTTGGAATGTCAAAAATTTGCTAGAAAAAAACTAGAACATTTTTCAATTAATTTAAGAAATTTCTAGACAAAATGTGGAAACTTCCGAGTTTGGAAAATTGAAAATTTGCGAGACAAAAGCTGAGAAATGTTGAGAATAATGTAAGACATCTTTACACTGTAAATGTGGAGATTTCTGAGACTCAAAAGTCCAAAATTTTTTAATCTTTGGACATTTCCAGAGTTTCAAAAGTCGTAACAATCAAAATTCTTATAAGGAATGTTTAACAATAAATGTAAGAAATTTATGTTCTTGTGTTTATTATTTGGGGATGTAAAATGCTTACACCTCCATCTGTAAGCATTAATAAAGGGGGTCTCAAGCTAAATTGCCCCCTTCCCTGTCAAAATTGTAAAAATCAATCTATCACATTTTTTGTATCGTACATTTCAGCAACAAGCCAATGTTGCATAATAAAAACACAAAACTACAAAGTCACTGAAAACACCACACAGTCAACAATTAAAACGTTACATTTTGCCAAGACCCATAAAAATATATGTGTCATTGCACCCTGAGAGAGTTTAATGCTAAAGTTGATTTCTGAGTCACAGCTTCTGATTTGGCAGTAATTCAAGGAGCTACTTCACTTTCATCACTAGATGAAATCTAAAATGCGACATCAGTCGGTCAATCCATTCATCCATCCATCTATTCATCCATCTGTCCTTCATCTAACCACTGAATCTGTTTATACATCTGAATTTCTGTCTGCCCAGCCGACCTTCAGCATATATGCATTCATGCGCAGCTCTGCCTAGGACATCACTAATGCAGTAACTGGGCTTTAGTTACTGCATTAATACATAGCTGCATTAAGTTTGTGGTTTTGTTAACGGGCAAAGCGTCGTGTTCTCATCGGAATCTGAGCCACAGCTTAAGGTGCTTCCGTTCACTTTGATTAAAGCTGCAGATGCGATAAATTTCACCTGTCTGTGAAAGGGAATCAGGTGGGTTAACGCCATTGAGGCCGCTCGCTTCGAGGCTCTTCGCGTGAACTGCGCTTGCCCAGTTGCCATGGTTACGGCTCCACGCTTGATAATTTCAGAACGGGATTTAATGTGCGACGTTCAGGATGGAGCAGCGGCGGAGGCAGACGGATGAAATGATGGAGGTGGAATACAGGCGACAGGAGGCAGATGTGTTGTTGGTTTCCACATCGTCAGAGCAGAAACAGAGCAAACATTTAGTCTTAAAACATGCAGAGAAAGTTTCCTTGTTAACGGATTTGACAGGCATTTAAACACAGTGGCTCTTGTTGCCCCGACTGCCCTCAGATAGCAGGTTTCCATGGAGGCAGGTCCGTCCCTAAGCCTCAAACGAAGATATGAAGAGGTGGACAGCGGCTCTCTGTTCTCTACACCTAAGGACTCGGACGATGACATCTCCAGCAGTGACAGCGCAGACAGCTGCGACAGCCTCAACCCACCTTCCAGCACCCCGTTCACTCGTAAGCAACAGCAGAGAAAAAAGAAACACACCTGGGATATTTAAAGGGGAATTATAATGCAAAAGTCATATTTTGCATGAGTTTTTGCCTCCCAGGGTTATAAAAGTTTTGTTTTTTTATTCTAGTTTATTTTTGTTTTGTTCTATCTATCTATCTATCTATCTATCTATCTATCTATCTATCTATCTATCTATCTATCTATCTATCTATCTATCTATCTATCTATCTATCTATCTATCTATCTATCTATCTATCTATCTATCTATCTATCTATCTATCTATCTATCTATCTATCTATCTATCTATCTATCTATCTATCTATCTATCTATCTATCTATCTATCTATCTATCTATCTATCTATCTATCTATCTATCTATCTATCTATCTATCTATCTATCTATCTATCTATCTATCTATCTATCTATCTATCTATCTATCTATCTATCTATCTATCTATCTATCTATCTATCTATCTATCTATCCTCTATCTATCTATCTATCTATCTATCTATCTATCTATCTATCTATCTATCTATCTATCTATCTATCTATCTATCTACCTATCTGTCTGTCTGTCTGTCTGTCTGTCTGTCTGTCTGTCTGTCTGTCTGTCTGTCTGTCTGTCTGTCTGTCTGTCTGTCTGTCTGTCAAATGAGTTTTTAGAGTATATTTGCAAGTTTTTATTAATTAAATATTGTTTCGTTTTAGTTTAGTTTTTATTAGTTAGTCTTACTTTGGTTAATTTTCAGGTCAAAAAGTATTGTTTGTGATTTTGTATACACCAATTAGGTGATGGATACTGAAAAATGATTCAATTATCCGTTTTTTGATCTGAAGTTCTTCTTCGCCATTTTGCAGACTAGCATAAGCACAGGCGGAATATGGAGTGCCGTAATTTGGCGATAGCTGACGTAAACTGCGTTTGTAAAGAAAAAAAAACATTTTCACATCAGTTCGAAGGCTAATAAATATATTCATAAACACGAAAACGAATGCTGTTACGTCTACAATTTCAATATGTTTCAGTTAATTTTATAAATACACAATATGGATGTAATTAGTTGTAATTTTCCCACTAATTACCATTTTTATTCATTTCACTTGTAGATGCATCAGTGGTTTATGATGTTATAATTTGACAGTACTTAGATGTTGTTTATATTCATAAAAATTCAAAATATAAACACAACTCATCTGATTTGGGCCTTTGAGTTTTATATAAATTAGAATGTTTTATGACATTCGTTCATTGAAAAAAATAAAATAAAATTTGTGCCACAACTGCTTCTAAAAGCAGCCCAAAAAAATAAACATCCTTTTTTTTTTGGTAATAAGTTTATCTTATTTGGTTTCTCTAAAATGATCAAAACTGTGTCGTTACCTGGCAAATTTTCAGACTAAAAACTCTACTTAAGAATGGTTTTGAGCAAAAAATGTAATAATCATGTTTTGTATAACCCATACACTTATCATAGCCTGTTTAAGGAAGCACAATAGGTCTGAAATGAAACACTCAGCTCCAACTCTTTGTTCCTCCGTCATCAGCCACCTCCATCCTCAGACAGCACAAGCCGTCGCAGGGCGGGAAGCGGGTTCGCTTCGATGTGGTGACGGTGTACTACTTCCCCCGGCGGCAGGGCTTCACCAGCGTGCCCAGCCAGGGGGGCAGCTCCCTGGGCATGGCGCGTCACCACTCCTCCATCAGACACTACACGCTGGGCGAGTTCGCACGCGAACAGGAAAGCAGCCACAGACACACGCTGCGCCAGCACCTGCGTCAGGAGAAGCTCAACGCTCGCAAGATGAAGGTACATCCAGGGATGTTCTCTGCATTAATTAAAACCATTCATGATCAGATTATTGACCATTCAGGCAAAACATGCTGACCACTAACAGGTGAAACTGATTCTGACTCCATTGACAACACTGTTAAAAAGTAATCGCTCCTTAAAGATGACTTTTTATTTATTTTTTCCACATTTCAATGTTTTTGCATCATGCAAATTTAAATGCATTGAAATTTCTAGAAAATCTGAATAAAAATTGTCAGAATTAAATAAATTAAATAAAGATCTAGAAATATCTGAAATAAAAAAAAGCATTTTTAAAATTTATTATTATTGAACTGTTTTCATAATTTATTAAATACTTAACTTAAAAATGAATGTAAAAATTATTATATTTACAAGCATTTATATAAATTTCCTTTTTTATTTCAGTGGTTTAAATAAGGAAAATATATTTTAAAAATACTGAAATAAATGTATGTGTCTCAGTACATTTATTGAACTCAGATTTCAATAAAATTACAACTTACTATTTTTTAATGTATTGGCACACATAAATATTATACATTTAAAAATATTTAAGTAAAATTTTTATTTATGTTTCTACATACATACATATCTTTTTAAAAATTGTGGTAACTGGAAAAAATATCTTCAAGAATTTAAAAGTTTTTTATTGATTTATCTTTTTTTTAAAGAAAAAACTGGAATATTGATTTATACTGTCTTTTGCACCATAATGTTGGGAACATTTAATCTTCTCTGCCTCTGATGAGGATTGTTTTTTTGAATAATTGAATATTTTCAGATAGTTGTGGAGGAACACTTATTCTTCATCCATCTTTGCTACTTTTTGAACCAAATATGTCCAGAATTAATACCAATTTGCAGAATATTGCAATAACATTAATAATGCAGCGTCTTTCTTTGGATATCCTCCAGATTATTCTCAGATTTCTTTGGGTTTTTGTATTATTCTTACGGTTTTCAGCTACCATTTTCTCTCCCTGCTTTAAATTCAGCTGCATAACCACAGGAGTGGAGAAACTTTCTACCTGCATTACTCACCAACGTTGCATGTGATGTCAGCTCGGTTGCTGCAGGCTAAACCGCAACAAAAGGGCGGATGGCCTCTGGGGATTTCAGAAACTCTTTCCACCTCATTTGTATTGCAGCAGAGTATTTTGTATTTTTACCTGAAAAATTCATTAAACAATTCCATTCACACATTTGAAATAGCAGCATAAATGTTTCGGTTTAGTTCCAACCCTGAATCAATTGTTTTTTTTTATAGTTGTAGATTAGAAGTGTAGAAATTTGTATATATTGAGTTGGTAAAATAAATGTGTTCATATTATAAGATATTATAAAAGAGAAAGAGAAGAGAGAATTTTTTTCTATTCATTAAATGCATCCTGTGTATTTTTAATCCATAAATCTATCAACTAACTGAATTCACTTACATACATATTATTGATTGAATAAGAGAAAGGCATATTCTTTGATCTATGAATATAAATATTATTTCATATCCTTCATTTTTTGCTGAAGGAAATTAAAATCATTTTTATTTAACATTTTTAGTGTTATTTAACCTTTATTTATTTATTTATTTGTCTCTTTGAGATTGATTTAGAAGAAAAACATGCTCTGATAAAACAAATAAAAAATTATACAAACACCGCAATAAAACAAATATTTAAGACTCAGTTAAACAAGCTAATAAAAATATGAGTTTATAACGAGAACGTTTCATAAAAAGATTTCCGTTTTGGACTAAAATGAAATGTAATTTTCCCAAAGGAATAAAGGATCCTATCTGCTTTGTGCCTTTTAAGAAAACGGGAGTTCTTTAGCCTCATCTACAAATAAAAGAAATCTTTTTAAGTTTGTCACTTTTAAAGATGTGCTTTTACGACGCCGTTGGGATTTTCCTTCTGAGCTGGAGTGAGGACAGCGGTTGCTTCACGGCTCTACTTTCCCTCCCACAGCTGACGAGGAACGGCACGGTGGAGTGCGCTCAGGCGGACCTGCTAACTCTGGAGGACGTCTCCGACGAGGATCTTGACGTGGACGCCGTCGAGGTGGACGACTGTTTCTTCCTCCAGCCTCTGCCGACGAAGCGCCGCCGGGCCCTGCTGCGAGCCTCCGGGATCGCGCGCATCGACGCGGGAGAAAACCGAACTGAGAGCCATCCGCCTCTCCAGGGAGGAATGTGGCTGTGACTGTCGCCTGTTCTGCGACCCTCGCCACTGCGGCTGCAGCCAGGCCGGCATTAAGTGCCAGGTAAGACTTGCTAAAAAGAAGGAAAATCTGGCAAATCAGATGCAAAATTCACATTTTGCACTTTTTTCTACTTCTATTGTGTTAAAAATGATGCGGCTGCCAAAACGCCCAGCAGGTTTTGGCAATAAGTTTGAGTTTTTTGGTGTCTGGAAAATGAGCCGTTACAAAAATGAGTACCGCAGCTTAAGCAACCCTAGCAGATCCGCAGCTGGTTTTGTCAGCTGGTCTTACTGCTGTATGCTCTGTACAACGGCTGCTGGAAAAGACAAATGTGTTGTTGTTGACTTATCGTCCAGAAAACATTTGCAGGAGGCTCTGCTAATGCTTTTCAAAGAGGTACGGTTGTTTGAAGGCCTTTCCAGTAAGAGAATATAGATCTAGCAAGTTTCAATCGAGCTTATTTGAACTCAGAAACGTCTTAAAAACATAATACTGTCAAAAGCTGTGAAAACAATAGACACTGTATTTTGTGAAACGTTACGTTGAAATAAAAAAACATAAAATATGTTGGTCAGTTTTTAATTATTATGGTCCATAAGCAACTCTAAACAGGTGGGGGGTTTTTATTTAAAGGAACTCAGCAGTTTTCAGTGTAAATTTTGAGATTAGGGGTGTGGCCAGCAGCAGCTTATTTGGATTTAAAGAGGCAGCAGCTCTTTCTGGAAGCAGATCATAATAGGCAGAACTGAGCAAGTTAAAATCTGATTTTCTAAAGGAAATGTAATGAACATGTTTTATGTGGCTAGACCAATCCTAACCTGTTTCTGGAGTGAAGTAGTGAGAAGGGTGTTTTGTTTGTTCTTCAGGTGGATCGCATGTCTTTTCCATGCGGCTGCTCCAGGGATGGCTGCGGCAACGCTGCCGGTCGCATCGAGTTCAACCCCCTGCGCGTCCGAACACACTACCTGCACACCATAATGAATGGATGTGGAGAAGAGGAGGACGCCCATAGCGGGTCCGGGGAGCCGTACACTGAATCTGACCCCTTGTCTTCGCCCTCCTCCACTTGCCCCACGTCCCCGACCCTGTCCTCCGGCATCGGCCTGGACTCGGAGCTGGAGGAGAGCGAGGTGCAGTCGGTGGAAGAGGTCCACGATCTCCTGGTGGAGCAGGATATCCTGGAGCGGGAAAACGAGACGGCCGTGCTGCACCTGCAGAGCGCCGAGGAGCAGGAGAGACGGGAGAGAGAGGAGGCGGTGCAGCAGGAGCTGAGCTCTGCTGGGGTCGCGGGGTCACACCCTCTCTGCCTCCTGCCTGAGCAAGAAGAAGCAGCTCAAGGTGTTGATCAGATCCTCCTGCAGGGACCTTTTCCGACGGGCGCTACCGTCTTGTGCATTTCTGACTCCCAGGAGGAGAGTCCGTCGGAGCTCCTCAAAGACTCTCTGCTCTACTATCAGCTCAGCGCCATCGAGCCCAGCGCCTTCGAGACGCTGCCTGCAGCTGAGGGAGACGAGCAGGATGAGCCTTCGCAAGGCGAGCCTTTGCAAGGCGAGCCTTTGCAGAGCGAGCCTTT